GTGCAAACTTAGCTACTAGATTAAATTATCATTAAAATCATATTAAAAACTAGCATGGATTGTAACTTATAAAGTTAATCTTTAACAGAAAGTAAATGGACACATTCATATAAGATTTTTAACTTTTGAAATTCTAAATCTAAGCAAATAATGTAAAGCAATGTGAAGTTATTTTGGTTTCAGTCACCATTTTGGCATCCACAGTCTCTAAAGGCCATGACCTAGATCTAAACAAATGTACAGATCCCATGACTCCTTATATGGTATACGGCACGGCTTTTTTGACACGGGTTTCCAAAAAAACGTGTCTCCATATATGGAAAAGGACACGGGTTTCAGACACGGGTTTACAGAATCAGTAAGTCCATATATGGAAACTAGCAAGGCTTTCTGACACGGGTTTTGTAAAAACGTGTGATCTCATTTAAATATTTCGGCCAATATCCCGTGCCGTGTCCGTGCCTCGACCACTTTAAGGCACGGCTTTCAATACATACTTTACATAGGAGCACGGAATGCTAAAGCACAGCTTTTTGGAGACGGAATCCGTGCCTAAGCCGTGTCTAAGCCGCCCGGACTGTTTCGTACGGGCACTTCTATATTATTTAGTTGAATTTATTTTTGATGAAGCCATGCAAACAATGTAAAATTATAAAGGAAAAAAAATCAAGAAATACAGTGATGTGCCATAAGTGTTCGTCCAAATTCAATTTTCATTACGTCACTTTACATTTTCACATAACTTCGTCGACGCTGTATCTTTTAACCATGGCGTCAATGTTGAATAAATAAGTATATATTTATAGCATATCCACGTGACTGTCACGTGTCACAATTACGTAGCAAAATTATTTTCGTCTGCTGTGTATTTCCCCTGTAAACAAAATGGCTACCGTGCGTAAAGAATTGAGTACTGATGTTAAAGAAGTCATCGTTTCTCTTTACCTGTCTGGATTAAAACATTCAGAAATAGCAAGGAGATTACAAATTCCCCGGTCTACAATAACTTCTGTAGTTGACCGGTATCGCAAGCGAGGAAGTGTAGAAAACATACCGAGGAAAGGGAAGCAGGCAAAGCTAAGTGACAGAGACAGTCGCAGCATTTTAAGGTTGGTGAAAGAAAACAGAAAGAGAAAATTATCAGACATAACAGCCTTATTCAATGAAAATAGAGACTCTGCTATATCTAAACGGACAGTTCAGCGAAATTTGTACAAACAGGGGTATTTTAGAAGAGTTGTTCGAAAGCGCATAAGAATTCGCGAAGTGAACAGAAAAGCACGGCTCTCCTGGTGTAGAGGAAACAGATACAAAACTATAGATAATTATTGGAACAGGGTAATCTTTAGTGATGAATGCAAAGTGGACGTTTGGACTGATAACCGTGTTTTTATATGAAGAAAGGTTGGCGAAGAGTGGATACCATGTTGTCTCTCGCAACATCCAAAACCTAAGTTAGGTTTAATAATATGGGGCTGTATCACTTTCAACGGTGTAAGGACTGTGACTGTTGAAGACAGTAACATTAATGCTTGAAAATACATTTATATAATTGAAGATCAACTTTGGCCAGTCATAGCACGCCATTTTCCTCGAAATAACTATATATTTCAAGATGACAACGCCCCTATTCACAGAGCCCGAGTAGTTCAAGAATATAAATTACAGAATTATATTCATTCAATGGTTTGGCCCGCTCAGAGTCCTGATTTGAACATTATTGAAAATATCTGGTTGAGACTGAAAAGAGAACTGAAAAACGGCAACGAAATATTCTTGTGTAAAAATCAGCTGGAGGCAGCCATTCGACGTATCTGGATAAACATCCCAATTTATTATGTTCAGGGCTTATACAGGTCGATCCCAAGACGAATACAGAAAGTTCTGAGGTCAAAAGGCTATATAACAAAGTATTAAGGTAAGAAAAAATATTTTATAATTTTATTTCTGTGTTTTATTTTTCCGAAGCGTCTCGTTACTACGGCGGCCATTTTGAATTTGGACGAACACTTATGGCACATCACTGTATTTTGTCATAAAGGAGTCATTAACAGATGTACACTTTGATTTTTTATTGCAAGTATTTCTTTTTACCTTTAATATTGTGATGATGCAATCGTCTGTCACAATCAGCTTGTGGATCAATCGCCAGTCTTATCAGCTTTGGGCTTCTTGGACTTAATAAAAAAAGCAGCACGGTGACACTGAACTCAAGTGGTTGAATGCATCTATAGGCCATAAAAACAAACATTTGTCATTAAGTTGATGAAAGAATCGACTTGATAACGATCTCAACATACGAAAACGCCAAACTGCTATATACAAGGTTTCTACTTTCACTTTCAAATCAGTACGTAACAAAAGTCAAAACAAAAAGAAAAACAAAGTAATGCCTTTAGCCTAACATGTAAATTGTAATGTTTACATCCATTCAGAAACAAATTAATCCAAACACTAACGTTATGTAGATCTAGGTTTACGAAATGCATTAATTTAACAATTACAAGTGTTGAGAGTATTACAGAGATGAGTTCATACGAACCTGTAACCGTAATGAAACGATATTTAAACAAATGAATTAAATGTCTTTTAAAAATTGTTAGGACATTAGCCTAGATCTACTTACTTTTTCCAACACCCAGCACTTCTGCTGCAGCAGTGACGTCAAACATGACGTACACTTTCATCCGATAGAAGTCAAAACCGGTCCGGGAAAAATACGGAATTCTTTTTTTACTTTACTCAAGTAATAAACCCTAACCCAAAAGATTTGAAATAAAAAGCAAATTAATTTATTCTTTATCAATTTTGTCTGGGATATGCATTACAGAATTATTGTATGAGTATTACAGAAAAAGAAAATTGTGAAAGGTTTTTTTATAAGGGAAAAAAGGGGGAGGGTTAAACAAACTAGAACTTAACATAAGTTATTGCTAACAAATTCTTTTGAAATTGATGTACATTTAAATTACTATTGAGATATTTTATTGAAATTTTACTTGAGTATACCAAGGGCAAATTAGTGAATACTGTTTCATATGATTCTCATATGATCACTGTTTCATATGATTCTCATATGATCACTGTCGAAATATTCATATGATTTTTCCCTGAGTATAACAAAGGCAAATACGTGAATATGGTTTCATATGATTCTCATATGATCAGTTTCATATGATTCTCATATGGCCACTGCCAAAATATACATATGTAGGGCCTTTCATATGAGAATCATATGTATATTACTTCATATGATTAACATATGTATGATCATATGATTCTCATATGATTGGCCACATATGATTCTCATATGATTGTATATACATATGATTCTCATATGATCCACATATGATCTTCATATGAAAGGCAATGCATATGTGGATCATATGTGGCTAAATTGCCCATATATGGTGATCACCATTGTAAATCAAAGTTTTCAAAGTTATGACTTATATTAAGTAAATCAAAGTGTCAAAGTATTTACTATAATACATATAAATCAAAGTGTCAAAGTGTTCACTTTAGTAAACTACACTTAACTTTAGTATTTTTATGTTAGTTATATTTCATTTAACCATTTCAACAAGGCAATCCATAGTTTAAAGTGACTAGCTTGAGTATTTCGATCTAATCATCCACTTTGTCCCACAGATGCTCATTAAGAAAAAGATGATGTTCAGTCGACTAGGCAAATGAGATTGCGGGAAAATCCTTACTAACTCTGCCATACTTTGGCGAGGGTAAACACGCCTAAAGATAGGCAAATGACGTACATAGACGCGCGCCCCGGTGATATGAACAATAAACTGGTACCCTGACATTGGTTCACGGGCGCAAGCGCCCTGAAAAACCAACGACAGGTAACCACTGCCATTTTATCGCATCACAGGAAACAACACTGATGAAAAAATCTATATTTAGACTAGCGTAAATCCAGAAGTGCTGAAGTAAATAAACCCTTCTCTCTGCACTCTACACTGCTGTAAACGAAGAAAGTAGACGGATTTTAAGCATCTAAAATCGTCAAGAAGTGCTGCCTCAAAAGCCATTAAATGTAAAGCGATATCGTACTGGTCCCATATGCATATATTCTACCAAAATAATTCAAATCAAGACCTGGATATTTGGCACTGATATGATAATTCATCTATTGAGTTATAACACTTATTCTCTATCATTATATGTTTAGTTTATGGGGAATGCTATAACTCGTCTCTTTAACTCCATGTGTTACGTTATGCACCAGGAATAGGAGGATTACAATGTTAACACTACGGAATATTTGAAACTTCATTGTGACAATATATTATATATTCAAATTGTCACAATGAAGTTTCAAATGTTCCGTAGTGTATTGTTGTAAATTAATGATATACTCAGTTAATAAGGTCCCTTCTTTATTGTTTGAATAATTTCCCTGTATTAAATTGTTGTATTCATCAAGTAAGATACGATACATTTTGTTTTTTTCCTGTTATTTGAATCTCTGCTGTTATTTGAATCGCTGGATCCACCTAACATTCTTCTCCGCAAGCATTAATGCTATTTATTTTTGGAATGCGCAGTTACTATGCGCGATGCTAGCAGTGAGTTTTTCCACTGTCATGTCGGCAGATGTTACCTGTCCTTGTAATTCCTAGCAGCAGCGACTGCAATCAAGGGCAGAGAACCAGTGCTTTATGAACAACAGCGTAAATTTAATCAGCTTGAAAATATCACAATCGCACAAATGGGTTTCTTTCAGTTTTATTGTGAATGTAAAATAATGATAGCCTATCGTATTAATAGCAATTTTTGGGTAGTTTGGAGTCAAATTAACAGGAGGCAGGATGAATAACCCGATCTTATCATGGTTCTGTTTTGCTTGAAAGTCATCGTCACAGTTTATTGGAAACAATTCTAGGTCCTCTCTGCTAATGGGGAAGACGTACATTCTATGTGGGAAAAAATTACAGGAACCTGTACAATAACTAGAAACTATTATTATTATTATTATTTAGGTAATGAAAAAGCAGAGACGTATATAAGTATCGCAAAAATCAAAAATGGACCAATGGGGTACGTATATATACATCAAGTGTTGTGTAAAACATTAATAGCACTACTTACTTTAATCTCCTCTTCTCCTGTGTACGCTTTTGCTTAATCTTTCATCGTTTTAAAAGAAATTTACTACTCTACAAACACAACCATTCATTAAGATTATGTTGCTTTACGATAAGAAACGTTTAGAGATTCTATATGCAATTAGCATGACAAAAGGTGTGACGTTTTAATCATTGTATTAAGAACAAATAGTTATCATTATTGCGTGGGTATATGTAGAATCCCACGGATGAGCGGCTCCTTTTAAATATAATTTTCCTTTGAAAATAGTAAACCTGCAAATGAACATGTAAAGTCATTTCTTTTATGTTGCAAAAGTTTGATATGAATTTATATGTTCCATAGCAGTCTCATAGTTTGCAATAAGTTGCATTTATTTTTGATTTTTGAATTAGAAACCAAAAAGTACACCTCAAAAATATATATTTGATCCATTTAAATATAATAATAATGATATAATAATTATAATCTGATATATGCAAATAAAAAGATGGAGTTCGCAATAAAGTTTACGCAACATTTCATCTATTTTTATTGTTTTTTACTTTTGTTAATTTTAATATTTAAAAATTTTATCAGAATTTATAGCTCGTAAATGATATTATTTACACATTTCTTGCAGGATAGAGCAATGAGCTTTACCGGGAAAAATAAATACATTTAACAATGGTAAAATAAGTCTGCTATGCAGAAAGTATTTGAGCAGAGCAATTGAAGACAGACATCTTAAAAAAAGAGGTGGGATGAGGTACCAAAGACAATAAAAGATACCAGTGAATCTGCTCTACTAATTGGCATCAAATCTTGCCTAAAATAAGCTATTGTGAATGGAATTATCCTTGATGCATTAATCAATTTATCATACAGGTTATGCAAGTAAATTGCTGTATATTAAAGGGAATTTGGCGTAAGAAAAATCCGTTATCACTTAGTTAATTAAAATTGGTTGTAAGCCATACATACCTTTTTTTAATGAAACATAAAAATATGAAACAGCTTCCTTATTGTTTTTGTGTTGTCTTTTTTTCCAAGTTTAACTAAAAAATTAGATACTGCCAATGAAGAAATAAAGATGAGTTTTGTTAATTGATAGAACGTCATTGACTCTTAAATATCTACAAGAATCAATTTCTCTTTAAGCAGTTAGAGTATACGGTAATCCCTTTATGCCATGTAACCAACGCTCTTACGCAATATTTATCGACACTTGAAACTTCCATAAGGCCCTACCTATCGACAATGGAAACTTCAACAAAGCGCTATATGATTTATTACACGGTGTAATACGCCCTCTGATGAGAGACAGTATACAGTGTTATCTGTGCATGGAGCGTGGCTATTATGCCGAGTTCTTATTAGTAGCATTATTTACCAAAGCATTGACAATACTAAGAACATAACGTCAAAGGACCAGGAATTTTGTCCCTACCGGTATTATTAACTTGTTGGTACATGTATATCCTGCGATCGCGATTTATAGCAACTGTAAGTTTATTTTCGGAATTTGAACGATTTGCATTAAATATATACAGCATCCCTCAAGAACAATATATAATCTGACCTAGTTACATGTATGCTACTGGGCACTGGACGGATGGGTTCAATGCTGACTAAGGGGATTGAAGGTTATAAGTACCGACTGCAAAACATGGGCGAATCCCTCGATCTAATTTTCTTAAAAGAGTAAATTCCCCCGAAGTATTAAGGCATAGTTTTTATTAAGTTAAGTAATATAAAAAAGCTTATATAGAAATACTGAATACATGTTTATTATCTGTAGGTTGTAAACTTATGTAACACTTTTATGGACACAAAAGGATTACTTCCATATTATAAGGTTTGTTTTCTTCTCTGTTTTTCTCTCTAATTATATGCCTAGCTCCCAGGGGTACAATCTGTTATCAGCTGTCTTTGTGAATTTAATACAAACGACCATAAAACATCACATACTTTTATTTTCTGAGAAAAATAATGGGAGACTGAATATAGTAAAATTAATTTTAAAAAAAAAAATGGAAAACAAAAATAAAATAATCAACATCATGATCCTCTCCCAAAAATCAACCGATACAAAATTTAGGCAGAAGAAAGATAAATCTATAAGTACTTTTGAGAATTCCTATGAAAGGTATATAAGTTGTACACATACTTTTGAATTTGAATTTGTCCAATTTGTTAATTATTTATTTATTTCGAACCTGTGAGGAGAAATAAAAATGAAAATATGGATGTTTACAGGCATATTGATAGTGATTTGCATATACGTGTTATTAATTAAAAAAGATATTAAAATAAATTGCAAAGCCGAAATGTTAAAGAAAGTGACAATGATAACTGGATAATTCTAGTAAAGGATAACTTACTAGTAATTGCATACACTGACGTTAAGTGTAAATTCTAAATCAAAAATTATACACTGTACTAAGTATAGAGGGATTAGACTTTCCTGTTCACACGTTTTATTTTATCTTACACTATAGTATTGCATGCAGTATCTGTTCCCATATACATATTGTGCTAGACTCTTTTTTTAATGATTGCCATATGCCATTTACTTATTCGAACATTTAATTGTTTGATAAATTGCAAATCATAGGCTTTTTGAACCCCCACTTTTACTAAAGAAAAAGCAGCTAAAAGAATACGTCTTTTCCTTTAAATTCAAAATGCCAATAGAGGAATTGACGCGGTTATATTGTTATAAGTTATATGCTTAATCACAAAAGTGCCCAGTCTTGTATTCCACCATATTTCAAGTTAAAGATTACTCCTTTATTTCCTACAAAATTTCAATGTACATCGACCATTGCTTTCCAACTTTTTAATTACAAAAAAACTTTACATGACTTGGATATCGAGTCTCTGAAACATAAACTTTTATGATGACCATTCTTCTTCATTCTATAACTATAGTCCAGCTAGACACGTAATTACAGGTGACGTAAATATAGTTAATAATAAAGACCTTAGATCACTTATCTTCAAAGGTCATAAATAAAGGGAACCCCTTTCATTCAACCGGCGTCGGAATTTCATAAATATATATTATGGATTCTGTTAAATTTTATGCCAGGCGATGAGCCAGATATGAAAAAGAAGACGTTGACACTTTGTCAGAATGGGTTAAATGTATCAGATCTATGATAAAATTGCGTATTAAAAGATTGAAGGGCTATATGAAAACCATCAATTTCGTATATAAAACCGATAAATTGGTTTGATCATCGACATCCAAGAAATACATCTTATGCTTCGTCTTCTTCTTATTGCTTACATGTATGAGACAATGAATAAAATTTGTAATGTTTTTGTATCCATTTAGTAAGAACTTCCATAAAGCATTGTTCGTAGACAATAAAATAGACCTGCTCATACTTAAATGAATAACATGTATTGGCTGAATATTCAGTATACATATAATTATATTCATGTTTTAGTATCAATATGTAGGAGCGGACTGTGTCCCTTTTTTAACTTGACCTGTCCTTGAAGAGGTATCCTCCTTTGATTTTAATCAATAAAAATCAAGTCTAAAAATATATTTTGTACAAAATTAATTATCAATCATTTAACTTTTCTTAATAATTATCTACATCTTTCTACCATAGCATTTTTTGATATTCCTAGTACATGTACATGTTTTATTTTTATTTTCAAAAATTTCTTTGTCCCCATATACTGTTAGAGAAAATAGTTGAATATTGTAAGAAAAGTTTATTATTAAATCACTAAAATATCCTTTACTTTAGATTTTAAACATATCAGATATGTTAAAAGGATGTGTCAATAGTTTATCCACATTGAATAAAAACAGAGGATTCGGGTTATTATGGTCACCATGCTAATTCTGGAAAAGGATATCTTTATCCACCCATACAATTGCCGCAATTTTGTCTTTTCTAACAGATGGACTGTTTTTGTTTTTAAAAAAATCACTAGCAAGGTACGAAATATGAGCTGGAAAAATCTTTTAGTCCTGTTACAGAACGCAAATTAAACAGTGAATTCCCTTATCACTTCTTTCATAGAAGTTATTCAATTACTTCGCGACTTTTTGATCACCTGTCGTACTGCAATGCACTCGTGTATGTCAATGTGTGTGGTTTTGAAACTATAGGCAAGTCTTTTGTGCGAAACGAAAGTAACAGAAATTTGCCTCAGGATCAAAGTAGAAAACTGCTATGCTTTATACGAGAGGATACACCGCTTTTAGGTGCTTGTTTGAGTTATTTCAGTCACATTATAGAAAGGATGCAGATTGTATTTTAAAAAATCACGATGTTTTCACAAGTAACAATTAGAAACTATTATACAATCAATATTCTACTTTTTGTATTCTTGCATTTCTCAAAGACAGTCAGGGTAAAAATAAAACTTAACCTAAAGTACATGTTAAATAACATTATAATTGTTTATTCTAAAGATTCAAAGTTTATTTCACTTTTTATCTACAGGCCGTTGCTTTAGCTTAAAATATCTTAAATTTAAATAATAATGAAATTCTATCAATGTAAAAGTCTGATTTCCTGTAATATGCAAAAAAAAAAAAATTAATCACTTGCATACAGTCGCAAACTCAACAACATTGTTTGACATATATTTGTCGGAATTAATAGTTTGAATATTTTCAATAAGGAAATATTTTTTTTATATCGTGAGAAGATTCCGTGTCAACTGGAATTTAAGAATAGGAGATATGAGAAGTTTCTTTTTGTATTGTTGGACATTCATGTTTCCAAGACTTGTCTGCAATGAAGTAGGATCACGAAAAAATGCACTACAGTGCCTTGAAGTGTAAGAATATATTTTTTTTTATTTTATATCACACAATTAAGACAAAAAAGTAAAACGGAAAAATGGCGCTTTCACGTTTTTATCTTTTAAGGTAACTTTGAAGAACACGTAAAATGTTATTAAAACTGAATTATTTTCGTTGGATAGTCTTTGATGCTCGTTTTTTCTGCTTTATTTAGTGTTTTGCTAAAGCTGTTTTTCTAATACATTCTAGCTCAAAGTGTTAAATGAGTCTGAAGTGATATTGAATAAAATGTACCTTTTTCATTCAATTCAAAGAAAGAACAGGTCAAGCAAATGTTGCGCTGATTATTTTTGGAACAGCAATATTAATAAGTGTGAAAGTAAGTATACTAATTATCAAAGTAACGATTTCATCATCTTTGCTAGCCAAGGCTTTCTGATATGCTACTCACCTCATAAGCTCTTGGCGTACGGTGTTAAAAAAAATGTTTGGACACCGATAGACAAAGCAGCATTTTTTTTTTTTTTTTTTTTTTTTTTTTTTTTTTTTTTTTTTTTTTGTAAATGACGATATTTGCGTTCGAAAGATATTGTGACTCTTTACTCTCAAAAATGAAAGTAAGCAACAATTACATGCTATTGTATGAATAGATATAGTGTCATCCAAATTTTTAAGATATGAGCAAATAATGAATTGGAATCTTGATTCAAGATGTAAATTTGCACAGTACATAACAAATGAAATAAATACCTTCTTGCACATTTATTCTTTTAAAAAATCAATGGAACATATTGTTTTTACTCTATTTCTTCTTAAGGTCTTACGTCTTCAGCGGAAGATCTTTCTGTTATTCTTAGGTTTCTTTTCCACAGTTATTATTATTTTTTCTTACATATTTTGTGCACAAGAGTTCTCGAAAACTGCTTTCTCGATTTTCATGAAACTTTCAGAAATAATAGACCATCAAAAAACTAGAACTATTTTGTTTTGTTTTAATGACGTCAATTCTAGTTCCAAGATTTTTGCATTTTAGTGAATTTTATGGGGTCAGTTTTTCCGCGAGTAGTCTCAAAAACGGCTTAGGATAGACACCTGAGTTTTTAAGCAATGATAGAAAAAAATATGTAGATGTTACATGCGTATTTCATTTTCATCGAAAATGCTGCACGTCGACGCTCGCTATGGTCCAAGA